TTAGTGATGCTCGATGGCTTTCAAGAGGCAAGGTATTAAAGAGAATGTTTAAGCTGAGGCATGAGGTGTTCTGTTTTTTAAGTGGGGAAAATCACTCACTGGCAGACAGTTTCAGCAACAAGGATTTTTTTATTGAAAATGGCTTACCTCACAGATATATTTGAGAGATTAAATATCCTCAACACTTCAGTATAAGGGAATGAGGCAACTGTACTTTCTTGGAATGACAAAGTGAAGGCATTCATGGGAAAATTAGAGCTCTGGACAAGCAGTATGGAAAGTGACGCACTAGACATGTTCCCTACTCTGGTGTCAATGGTACAAGACACTGATAATCCAGTGCTTCCAATGGACATAAAAAGCTGCCTACTTGATCAACTCATAATGTTGAAAGTTCATTTCGAAAATGATTTTGCAATGATTTTGATGAATTTAATTGGATTACAAATCCATTCGAAAATGCTCCTGGGCCATCATCTCTGAGGGTAAATGAGCAAGAACAACTCATCGATCTCACTAGTGATACTTCATTAAAAAGTAAATTTAAGGAATTGTCTTTGCTGGGGTTCTGGATAAATATTGGCAAGGAATTCCCAACTTTGAGCCAAAAGGCATTGAAGATCCTGATTCCTTTCGCAACAACTTACTTATGCGAGGCAGGCTTTCCTGCTTTGGCAGCTATAAAGTCAAAGTATCGTTCAAGGCTAAATATTGCTAAAGAAGTTAGAGTGGCCATTTATGATATTACATCACGTTTTGATAAACTTTGTTCTCAAAAGCAGGCCCATCCATCACACTGAACTTTGACATTTAAATGTTTGAATTTCTTTGCAAAAAAAATTAAATACTTGTTAGTTACATATCGTTTAATTTCAATACATATTTTGGTTAATTTCAAGTGTTAAAACTAATTTCTATTGTAGGCCTAATATTGTGATACTTTATTTTTGAGTAAAAAAACTGCTAAATAGTATGTAGAAAAGAAACAAAATAAACTGAATAAAACGTCAAACATACCATGACTTCTATTTTGATAAAAAAAAACAGGCTGGGGGCCTGAGAGTATTTTCTCTTGTCAGGGGGGCTCAGAGGTAAAGAGTTTGAGAACCACTGCCCTAGGCAATGCCCATCCGACCTTCCGTAGCATAATCTTATATACATTTCATAGCGGTTGCACCTTGAATATATTCTTTTTCTTTTTAAATAAATCTAGGAATTGCGTTTATGAAGTAACAAGCGCCTTGAATTTTTTTTCTTCTAGCCTTAAGAGACCTAAGGGAGATGAAGTGACAGGAGGTTGGAGAAAACTGCATAATGAGGAGCTTCATAACTTGTACTCTTCTCCAAGTATAATTAGAATGATCAAGTCAAGGAGGATTAGGTGGGCAGGGCATGTAGCACGAATGGGGGAGACGATGAATGCGTATAGGATATTGGTGGGAAAGTCTGAAGGAAAGAGACCACTGGGAAGACCAAGGCGTAGGTGGGTGGACAATATTAAAATTTATCTTAGAGAGATAGGATGGTATGGTATTTATTGGATTGATCTGGCTCAGGATAGGGACCAGTGGAGGGCTCTTGTGAACACGGTAATGAATCTTCGGGTTCCATAAAATACTGGGAAATTCTTGAGTAGCTGCAGAATTGGCAGCTCCTCCAGAAGGCCTCAGCTCCATGATTAAGTAAGTACGTAAGCCTTAAGAGCTCTGTAACTGACTTTGGGTATTCTTTTTGCTGTTCTCAGACAGAATGTTCATCACTGTTGCCCTTTGGTCCTCGTACAGTTTACAGCCCCAGAAGCTATGTTCCTCCGTTTGCAGCCCATCACAACATTCGCATTCGGCCGTGGCCACAACGTTAAACCTGTTTAGGCTTGCTTTAGGACTGGTGTGTCCCGCTCTCATACGGTTTGTTGACACGAAGGCACGGCGGTTCATTTCTATCTCTCGGAACCACGGCCTAAGGCTGACAACCTGACCGCCATCTCTAAGGCGGTTGTCTGCAAAGTGTGGGAGCCTCGACGTCTCACAATCCTATGGGCCTCCAAGGACTGTTACAGGCATAGCTTTACTTTATGGTGTTACACAACAACACAACATAACAAGAAAAAGAAATACGAGCAGGACCGTTACGTAACTGAGGAAGAGGATAACAGATTTAATGACAAGTTCAACGGCCGATGAGAGCACAACGGGAAGCCTCATCATTCGTACTGCTAGCTTCCTCTACTTTCATTTCATACAATATATTTCCGTCTACAGTTCAACTTATTGTTGCCCCCTTCCTTTCTCATAACATGTTTCGGCCGTACACGGCCATCATCAGTTGTCTCTAATTCGCTAAAATTGTTGCACTGTTATGACCATCTTCCTCTATCATATGTGAATGCGATATCTCTTGAACTAAAATAAATGGACCTTAATTAATATTAATAAAACCTAGTTTAAACTTACTTAAGATTTCAGTATTTTGCTTGGGGTCGTAGTGCATTTACCCAAACGACATTGTTTGAGGTCTCCTAGTTTGGATTTATTTGCGCAGCGGCTTTATAAACTTCAGTGTAGACGGATATACATATATTGTACGAAATAAACGATACTGTCACGTGTTTGCTAGGCAACGTGACAAGAAATTGTGTGGGTTCTCGGATTTGAAAGAATATTTATTGGACGACTTACAGTTATTCCCCACTTATAGCGTCCTTTAGATGTTTCCTCTTCAATGTTACGGCCCTTTCGCACCGCTGTTTCGCTGAAGTGTCTTCTGCTCTGCTCGGGTGATAACTCTCGCACCGCTGTCTCACTGAAGTGTCTTCTGCTCTGGTCGGGTGAGAACTCTCGCACCGCTGTCTCGCTGAAGTGTCTTCTGTTCTGGTCGGGTGAGAACTCTCGCACCGCTGTCTCGCTAAAGTGTCTTCTGCTCTCTTGCCGGGTGAGAACTCTCGCACCACTGTCTCGCTAAAGTGTCTTCTGCTCTGGCCGGGTGAGAACTCTCGCACCGCTGTCTCACTGAAGTGTCTTCTGCTCTTGTCGGGTGAGAACTCTCGCACCGCTGTCTCGCTAAAGTGTATTCTGCTCTGGTCGGATGAGAACTCTCGCACCGCTGTCCCGCTGAAGTGTGCTCTACTCTCTTGCCGGGTGAGAACTCTCGCACCGCTGTCTCACTGAAGTGTCTTCTGCTCTTGTCGGGTGAGAACTCTCGCACCGCTGTCTCGCTAAAGTGTATTCTGCTCTGGTCGGGTGAGAACTCTCGCACCGCTGTCTCGCTGAAGTGTGCTCTGCTCTCTTGCCGGGTGAGAACTCTTCTGCTCTCTCGCTGAATACTAACTCTGCTCTTCTAAGGTCAAATACAAAATGAACTAGTCTCAAAGTCAAAGTTACATTGCAACTAACGATCGGTCAGTCTGTCTTGGTGTCGAGCCCCAGCTGGGGCTCATGACCAGATGTTTCTTCTTATATGAAAGTTACTGTCCTGTCCATTTGGGGCGCCATCTCTGACGAGAGATCAGGTCTGTCATTTGTCAGTCATAGTCCGTAATTACAAATTTAATCTTACTTCCTACTTCTATGTACAATATATGCAAGGCCTCTGTCAGTCAAATCATGTCAAAGTCAAAGTCACATTGCGACTGACGGTCGGTCGGTCAGTCAGTCAGTCAGTCAGTCAGTCAGTAAGTCTTGGTTCCGAGCCTCATGGGACTCATGGCCAGATATTTTCTACTGTTTGACAGTTACGGTCTTGTTTCTGTGGGACGCCCTCTCTGACGTGAGGACGGGTCTGTCTTTTGTATATGCTGCTGGCCCTTACCAGCGCAGTCTTTCTCGGGTCCGAGTCCCTTGGGACTCGCGACCATATTTACTGTCTCAGATTTGAGACTTCCCCTTTCGTCGCCTCCTACGACTCGCAGGGTCACGGTGGAGGTATTCGACCCTGCCTCCACACGGGGTGAGATTTGAGTCACTTGTCGCAGTTGGACTCATATAACTTGCACTCGGACCCAATAGGGAACACCATGTCGAAGGGTTAATTCCGCCCGCTGCTATCGAAACGCTGCTTCAAACAACTCGTTGCTTGGATATCGTCAGCCGTTGTATAGCAATGGATGCGTTCCAATTCCTAGGCGTTGCAATGAGAACTCTGGTCGTTACCTAGGAAATCAACCCTGATCTCCTAACCTCTTCCGGCGGCACGCCACAATATTGTGACATTACGTCTGCTATGCGGAAAAGATGAGTAGGTCGCTGCTGGACAACGGTTTGGTGAACACGCAACGGACACGCAGATTACAACAGACGGATCGTTGGAATGTGTTGTCTCTGTGGTTCGCACCGGGTCATTTAAGAACAAGTAATTGATTCAAAGAAGTGAGACCCTTCTTCTCGTCAGAGAGGACGTAATATAAGGACAATTACCGCAAGATTTCAGTGGGAAAAAGATCTCTGGTCGTGGACCTCAAAGGGCCTGACGCTAAGAAGAACTGGTTTGCGGTAAACCGCCAGTCGTAAAGTAACTTTCACTTTGACTTTTTGGCTTTGCAGGAGTGAGTAGAGAACTAGAGACCAGTCGGAGAACCAGAAGGAGTTCGATGTGTGAACTGCTACAATCAACTGTAAGTGTAATACAGATGTCCAATAAATCCAATCAAATCTAGAAGACACAATTATTAGTCACGCTACCCTTTATACGTGACAGTATGCAAATGTAACAGGATGCTTATATGCAATATCGCTCTCCTTTCTCTCGAATTCCTCTCCAGGCTTATAATCGAAAGATAAGTCGAGGCCGACGTTTAGCGCCATATCCCAAGAATAACACGCACAAATATAGTGAACCGTAAACCATCTCCTGTATAAAGTATACTGTATCCTATGTAACCAATCGAAAACGTTCTCAGAGTCACAGAATATTCATAATACAGTATATAGTAAGGTGAAGCTATCCGTGTATAAAATAGTGTTGTGTTTACAGTTATAAAGTAAATATTATAATTCTCAGAATAGATATGATACAGTGAAACAGAACACTGCTCGGTCGTTCGTGACCAACTTAACATCCATTTAACATACTAGCGCTAGATAATTTGTTGTTGTGTTAAGTCAAAATTGTGCAAAGACAATACTAAATCTCACGCCTACAGAAATTATCCCACTTTCCTTAATTTGAAAAAAAGAAAAAAAGTTGGCTTATGAGATCACCATCCAGTCTGTGTCCCCCTATCAACTTTTGAATGTTTATGAAACTTGCTACGTATATCACGACACGTGAACCCATCTCAGTGGTGTCCTTCATAAATCGCCTCCCATGAGTATGTGTGTCTGTATGCAAATCTCTCCTATCGTTGCTACGCAACGGCTCGGTAAATAAGTTACCGATGCAAAGAATACACACGGAACGGTGAAGGACTTCTAAGACGCGTAGTTTTGTATGCGGTCCGTGTCGTATCAAAGGAAAGTAGGCGATTACTTTTTCCCCGAACATCTTTTTAATAAACGTAGAAGGAAATGACACCCGCCCAAGTAACAAAAATCACAAAACAAAGACCACAGGACTTCTCAAGATGAGCAGACAAAGAACACTCGCGTTCCCATGACCTAAGATTGTAGTCGCAAACCACAAGCGCAATGGCTTCTGGTGTATTGTTCGCTAGGGGCCATAGAAATATCGGTGTCCCCTTTGGCAACGTAAAGGTGAAATCAGAGTCAGCACATTTCGACAGTAAGCCCGCATGCGCGGCCTCCACTGTGAGGTAACAGCACCGCGCCATTTCGCAGTTGCCACGAAGGAAGTAGCATAATAACAGCGAACAGTGGCGGTCGCATGACACCCACGGAGAGTGAAATTCGGAAAGGAAATGTGAACTTCAATTGGAAACTGCCGACTGCAATTTTCCATGCTTCTGATATTCACTTCCACCGCTTTTACCTTCGTCCTGTTCAAGCAAGATCTTCGCCGACATTCGGGGTCACGCAGTAGCGTAGTTGGTTGAGGCACTATGCTACAAGCCGGGAGATCGCGGGTTCAAGTCTGGATTAGGTTACTGGATTTCTCAATTGACCTAATCCTTCCAGTCTCACCATGGTCCTGGGGTCGACGCAGCCTCTAACAAATGAGTACCAGGAAATTTCCTGGGGGGTAAAGGGCGGCCGGCGCGTAAGGCTGGTAACCTCCCCGCCATCTGTGAGCCGATTGTCTAGAAAATGTGGGTGCCTCGACGTCTCACAACCCACTGGGCCTCCACGGCCTCTTACAAGGATGGTTTCTACCTTTTTTTATTAATGTAAATAATGTGTTACTTGTATTGTTTTAAAAAAGATTTAAAAGTTTGTGACGACAGTATCTTAATACAATTACTGTTTCTGGACATTATCCATCATCCTGTCACTCACTCACTCACTCACTCACGCATGGAGCTGAGCCCATTCGGAAGAGTCGCCAACTGTACAGCTACTCTAGAACTTCCCAGCATTTTATGGAACCCGAAGGTTCATTACCGTGTTCAGAAGAGCCCTCCAGTGGTCCCTGTCCTCAGTCAGGTTAATCCAACCCATACCACCCCATCCCATCCTATATCTCTCAGATCCATTTTAATATTATACACCTACGCTTCGGTCTTCAAAGTGGTCTCTTTCCATCTGGCTTTCCCACCAATATTCTATACGTATTTCTCTTATCCTCCATTCGTGTTACATGCCCCGCCCATCTCATCCTACTTGACCTGATATTCATGTAACTATACTTTGAGAAGGGTACAAGTTATGAAGCTCATCATTATGCAGTTTTCTCCAACCTCCTGTCACTTCATCCCTCTTCGGTCCAAATATTGTCCTCAACACCCTGTTCTCAAACACCCTCAATCTATGTTCCTCCTTTAATGTCAGAGACAAAGTTTCACACCCATACAGAACCATAGGTAAAATTTCAGTTTTGTATATTCTAATTTTTTATGTTTTTGGACAGCAGACGAGAACACAAAAGGTTCTGGACTGAATGGTAGCAAGCATTACCCAAGTTCAATCTCATCTTGATTTCCTCCTGAATTAAATTTTGATTTGTTAAAGTCGTTCCCAAAAATCTGAACTGCGCCACATTTTCAAAATAGCTGCTTTCTATCGTTATGTCATGATTTTGCCCTGCATTTTGGTTATGAGACAACAACATATATTTAGTTAGACCAACCTCCTTACTTGCATCAACTAAAGTTTGTGTGTTTCTCTTTATAGTGTCTACATTATCACCCAGTAGATTCATACCATCAGCATAGATCAACAGCTGATGTGTCCGATTTAATTTCAGTCTCACCTGGTTTTCCTGGACCTTCCTAAGGGCATATTCTAAAGCAAAGTTGAAAAGGATTGGCGATAAAACATCTTTTAGTTTTAGAATATTCTGAATAGGGAAATTATCAGAAAAATGTTTACCTATGTCGACTTTACCATACATTTTGTTTAAACACATTTTAATCAGCCTAACTAGTTTTATGGGTAACCCAAAACACTATCACAATATTGTACAATACTTCCCTCCTAACTGAATCATAGGCTTTCTTGAAGTCTATGAATAGCTGATGTACTGTCTCATTGTACTCCCATTTTTCCTCCAATATCTGGTGAATGTGAAAGATCTGATCAGTAGTTGAGCTGTTACATCGAAACCCATGCTGATGATCCCCAATGATTTCACATATGTATGGACTTAACTTTGAGAGAAGAATATTGGACAAAATTTTGTATGAAGTTGATTGCAGTGATATCCCCCGATAATTACTGCAATCAGTTTTATCACCCTCTTGTGAACTGGTACAATAATAGTCTCCTTCCACTGATCAGGCAATTTTTCCTTATGCAAAATAGAAGTAATTAGCTTTTGGTTTCAGATCTCAATATTTCACCTCCTGCTTGAATTTGATCATTAGCTGGCGATTTATATTTTTCCAAAGTTGCAACATCAGTTTCAACATCAAATGGACTAGGATCAGGTACTAAAAGCTCAGCTGCTAGTATTTCTGTCTGCCTAACATCACTGACCCTATTTACATTCAATAACTGAGAGAAGTAGTTCCTCCACCTATTCAAAATGTTGTGGGAATCTGCAAGCAGATCACCATTCTCATCCTTCACTAAGTTACTGCTAGGCTGGTAACCCCTCTTAAAAGTCATTTATTCCTCTATACAGGTCTCTAATATTCTTGTTCTTACTGTTCATTGCAAGATCATCAATTTTGTCTTTCAGATATTCCCTCATTTATTCTTATAATGCCTGTTGGTTTGATGTCTTATATTGTTCAGATTATCCAAATTTATTTCGCTTGGATCCTGTAATCACTGTAATCTGACTTG